TTTTACTATACGTGTCTGACCCGCCATGACTTCAGTCGGGCACATTACCAAAAAGGGAGATTGTCTAAAGTCAGGTAGTAATTTAGATGTTTCACATGATTTTTAATTTACAAATTTGTTAGTATAATCAATTTAAAACCTGGCTTTAGACGACCTCCAAAAATGGTAATGTAGATCGCTCCTTTTATAGTATAGAAACGCAGATTGGGAGATCCTTTTTGTTCGATTAAAAGTAATGCACTTACGTCGGGTGCGGATCACAGGACCATACCCTGGGTGGAAGTGTAACAGACCCATGATTTTCCGGAAATCTTTTCCGAACTGGGACCTATGTTCTAACCAGGGATTGGAACCGCCTTGTATTAACCGTTTAATTCCATGATCAACAAGATTCGATCCAACACTATAAAATTTTCTACTAGTTTGGAACGGCCGAGTTGGACCGGGTATCTCTAAGCCCGAGCTTGAGCCCGTCCAAAAGTCCCTGGTTGGACTCATTTCATAAATCCCGCCACAACTCGGCAAGCAGCAGAGAATAATGTATTAAGTTTAAAAAATATATGAAATCAAAAAAAATGATTGTTATATTTTAATATGAATAAATTAACTGAGGTAAATTTGAAGATTTAACTAAACAACATTAATAAAATTAAAAAGTATCGTTTAATGGCAATGCTTAAACACTTGCTAATAAATACAGTACTTATGCTGATTAAATTAATGTGATTAAAAGAAATTAATTTGAGTCATTTATTTTATGTAATTAACTACTCAAATAAATTAATTCAACTATAAAATTAAATAATGTAAAATTGAATTGCTTATTTCAAATGCTTATATGAATTAAAGATCTTGTTGAATAATTAAATAAGAGCAATAGTAGCATAAACTTTAACACAGACTTTGTGTATTGTATTTTAGCTTCAAAAGGGAAGCAGTCAAAAATTCCGACCAACAAATAGATTAGGGTAGAATCACCACTCAAAAAAATTTCAATTTCTCAATAAAATTTCGTGCAGGTAGATTAGGGTCTGGATTTTGCTATTATGTTAGGATTCGAGATACCATACACCAAAGTTTTACAAGAAAAAGGTTTTATTAATGCGCAGAAGGCTGTTTCATATATTAAATTTTGAGTTATGAGCGATTTTTGACAAGACGAACGTTTTGAATTTTCCTGATCATGCTACTTTACACATAATCTTGAAATTTGATTGGACAGCGAAATTTTTTAGGGTGCCGATTTTACTGTACCCAATCGACAAGGTCTAGCGTTAGCGGAATGTTTGTTAGCCTTTTGACCCAAACCTCTTTTTACGTATATACGTATTATGAGCCGGGAAACACGTGGTGGGGCGCAGCGTCGAATTAACGGATTGCTGCACAGAAAATTCGCGGCAAATCCTCGATTTTGGTTGGTTAACTGCCGAGGATCTTCAAATTTTGGCCACATTACATAATTTCCGGCCGGAATTAATTTTTTGATTTTTTTTATTACAAAAATAAAATTTTTAAAAAATAAGCTCGTATTATAGTAAAATTGGCCAGAAACAATTTTCACTAAATAGGCGATTGTAATTTTATTAGTAAAATTATAAGCAATTTTGGCCTAATTTTTTTATTGTTGCTCTTAGCCAATCAAAATCGAGAATCTGCTGCGTATTTTTGTGCGGCACCTAGGTTCAATGAATTAATACGTAGTTATAGCAGTCACTTATTATAAGGGTTTTCTGGCAGTATATAAGTATTGTAAAGAAAAAATTTACAAGTTGTATTTTTTTTTTTTTGATATTAAGGTAAGGCCTTGCTTAAATCTTTATTGATTAATTTATATAAGTATGGTGCAAGAAATCTATACTCAATGGTTACACGAAGTGTTTAATTTTTTAAATGCCTATAACTTTTTATCTATGAGGTTTTAAAAAAATTTGACCAATAACTTTATATATAAAGCTATATCAACTTTATATATATGCTAAATATTTTTTTAAAATTTTTTGCAGATTTTAATTTTGCTGCCAATGTCTACAAAAGAACTTTGTTTTAATAAATCTTGAGTTAGCTTTAGTCAAATTGCTATTTGTGTTTTGATATTCTTGAAATTAAAAATATCTTTTAGATCTTAAAAGCTAATTTTACTTTTGTCTTCCTATATAAATAGGCTTCAAATTGTCTTAATCATAATTGATTCTATATATTTTTATTTTAAAATTAAAAATATATATTTTGCTAAATGTTTTAAATCTTCTTGAGTTGTTTGATTATATAAGATGCAGTTTGGTAAAATATAAGTTTGTGGGTTTTGTTTATAAAATACTTCAAGCAATAGAGATTAATTTATTACAAACTTGATTTGGGTTATAAACTTTTTGTTTTTCTTTATTGTATTGTATTTTACTTTTAACTAGGCTTTAATCCTTTTTCAAAAATATTCTAGATATAGTTTTCTTTGTTTAGAGCCAAGTTTGATTTAAATATAGACTTTGTACTTTGCTATTTATAGTCTATATTTATATTAGTTAATGTCTTAATAAAATTACATATTAGTATTTCTACTAGTATTCTTTTTTAGCAAATTGTTTCATTAAGTAATGTGTTGTTCTTAATAGAAGCAACAGGAAATGAGGATGTTGTAGTTTCTTTTTTAGCAAAAAGATTTGCTATATTGTTTTATTGTTATTATTATAGCTTTTTACTTTTATTTTTTTTCAGTATTAAGGTAACCTCTTTGGCTATAGGGAACTCCTTATTAGTAATTATAGTTACAATAAAGATACAACTAGCCACACATGCACCTTTTGAGTACCTATTTAAGTATCCATTTACAGGTTCTATACTAAATATTATACCTATAATCCAACTAGGGAGTTACTAATTTAAACCTTCTGATTCTAACTATTTTTAAGTATATCTATTAATCTGAGAACTATCATCTGGCTCATTTCACTAGATTATACACATCTGCTTTAGAACTTTTATAGCTTATGCTGGGTTTGTACTAACTAATTACTGGCTTGCATTCCTCTATTAACTGTTAGCTTTTTACTTTAATAAGCTTAAAGTATATTTGTTTAATTTTGAAAATATTTATAATTTAAACAATAATTAAAAAATTTTTTTGTTTAAACTATTTGTTACAAAGCTAGATTAATTTTTTTTTTCTGATTTCAGCTATTATTGCAATACTAGAGCTGCAATGGCATTAACTAAATTATAAGTGGCTTTAGCTTTATTAAAAAGAGCTAGCTATTAGTTTTAAAGTAAGTTTTCTTTAGTATTACAGTTTCTAGTTTGTTAACTTGTATTCAATCTATATCTATTATAATCCTCTTTGGGCTATTATACTTTTTTGAATAAAATAAGCCATCTGTATAAAAATAAAAATCTATTTTTTTTTTATTTTTAATATTTAAATACTTTTTTTATTAGTTTTAATAATAGTAATATATTAAATACTTTATTTTTAAGTAATTCTATTTTTATTTTCTCTATTATTTCAAGCCTAGTTAAAGTACTCTTTGTTGGGCTAATAATACTGTTTAAACTTATATAGTAGCTAGTAAACATACAGTATCTGCTAATATAATAAGTTATTTTTTTTTTACTAGTCTATCTACTTCTAAAAGTATACTGTATATGTTTTTTCTATTTGTTTGCTAATAACATGTTTTTGTAAATTGTTTTAAATTTAAGTAATAGCTTTTGTATTTTTTCACTTTAGAAAATATGCTATCTTCAGTTATATCTTGTATAATATTTTAAAGTAATATTCTTTTTCTTTTTATAAATTACTTTATCTAATTTAATTATATTATTGCTACTTACAACTAAAATATTTTTTTTATTTGTAGTTTGCTAAAAGAGCTTTTTTAATAATTTTGCTACTAGTTTGTTTGAAATAATTACTTTGAACTTGTCTATAATATAATATTTATTGTTAGAGTTAAGAGTTTTTTCTTCAA